TTAATCTATTTCAAACCTGAGCCTAAATTTCTCCATTCGTGTGTATCCATTTCTAAATAGAAGATTCTTAAAAGAAATCGAAAATTTATATTATTGTTAAAATAATTAATTTAATAATTTTTCAAACGATTCGTAATTAAAAAGTTTTTTCCAGATTTCTAACGGTTGAAGAACAACTTTCGTTCGCCATTACGAAACCACGAAAAAACGACGTTATATTTTATTTTAATGACGTTATTATAATAGCATCAAATGATGAATGGGAAAAAATGGAAATTTCTATTTGCTATATTTCACAGCAACAATCATTTATTTTCGTCTAGATCCTGTTGTGCAATTAATCTTTGTTATTAACAGTGCAGTGCAAACTTTATGCACGTTTCCGCATTCAACGGTGATTTACAACTTTTTAAAATAATTAATTCAACGCGTCCCAACCAAAGAAATCCCCGGTGATATTTTTGATAGATCAAAAAATCCAAAATGGCATTGCGTACTTGATGACTTCCTCTCTCACATTTGACATTTTCTTTTTTTTTATTAACACGACTGTACACATCGATATATATATATATATATAAAATAATCGTAAAATAAAAAATTTACACTCGCTCGCATTAAATATATTAGAAAAAAAAAAAATAAAAGAAGAGTAATATTTTACAGTCTCTCTGATAACTACAATCGCAAGATTTGATCGTGGATTAGAAGATAATGGGTCGGGACTTCCGTGTTTTCTTCCACACGCTTCATTTCAGACTGCAATTCATAAGAGAGAGAATACACGAGAGCGATACGTATCGGGTGCATTAACGGTCGAGCCACGTTCTATGATCGCATCTCGCGCGTCTACGTGCATCATCCTTTAGCGCGCATTAAACGCCACACCACGGGGTTACGTGTACGAACGCAATTTATGCGCGAAAGCCTGGCTACGTTGTAGGTGTTATATCATCGGTGACAAGGACCGAGCGAGTAGCCGCCGTGTGTAATAATAAACGGAATAAGAGGGAGCTCGATTCGTGTAGGAAGCGTGTAACACCCAGGTGGAATGCCGCGAAGCACGCACTCGGTCAAAAGTTAGAAATGTAGTGTACACCAGGTTTTCAAACTGGGTTTTGTGGTCAAGTGCACGCTGTTTTTGGAAATTGTGGACCGTAATCGTGTCAAGCGTATGTACGGTTTTTCTCTTCTTCTTCAAAATTTACCCATTCTTTTCTAATTTTCGAAAATTTCAGAAAAAATTTTGATGTGGACTGTATATGGACCGTAAAGTAAAGTAGAAATTATGGATTTCAAGTGAATAACGCAATGTGATTTGTGACATACGAAAAATATACACATTTCTAGTAAAAAGTTACGCGAGTAAGTCTTTTGCTATTGATAAAAATATGGAGAATATTTCGTTATTTTTAATATTCACCGATAAATTTCCATTCAAAACTTCTCTTCGTTACATAAACGCAAATAACCGAAATATTTCTCATCCCCGTTATAAACCGAAATATCCCGAAATATTATCGTATAAAACCCGCACATACGCAACGGAGATATTTCAAGCAAACTTTCCACGAGACGAATAATTAAAGTAAATATCACGATCGAGTGGAATATCACAAAAGCGTGGCGTGCACTTTGCGGGAAGCGGTCGAATTATGCAAGGGTGGCGGGTATCGAACCGGGCTGGCACAATTGCATCCCATCCGCGTCGCGATACATTATAGCGCAAGTTTACACGCGTGGGCGGGCCGGCCAGCACGTAATAAACGCTGAGTTGTCATCAGATACGCGGGATACGGTTTATCAGCGACCGATTAAACGATCCGAGGCAAGTCAGAGTTGCGCCGTGGCCGATTCGCGTGTCCGCAATCGACCATGTGTTCGATTATAATATTTTATACACGGGATATCAGGCTAAGCAACAGAGCTAAGCTTGCTTCCTCAATTCGGCTAATTGCACTCACGATAACACGAACAAGAAGATTAATTAATTAGTTAATAGTTTCTATTCTTAATTTATTTGAATTGTTCCTATATATATATATGTATATATGGCGTTCTGTGAAACGCGGTGCAAATGCAATCGAATCCGTCGCGTTGTCGTTCGATATTCGGAGCGAAACGAAAAAAAGAGAGGAAAAAAAAGAAAGGAAAAAGAAAACGTGACAGACAAAGTGAAGCGATCCAGAAAAGAGAAAGAAAAAGAGAGAGAGAGAGAGAGAGTACTGGTTGGCGAAAATAATGCCCTTCAGAACGTTCTTGCGTTCTCTCACAAAAGGATCTGGCGTAGAGCGAGATACTGGAGGAAATAAAATAGTACTAGACGGTATCTGGGTCACCTTAAAGGGCACACGCCTAGCCGAATTACCGAGGAACGAAGGGAGTCTGTTCGATTCGAGCCAACCCCGAATCTTTCTAAGTCTATTTCATTAATCGTGCTTCGAGAGCTACGTTTCGATCTTGAAACTTCGATTATTTCGGATGATCGATTGATCGTGTTATTTGAAATCGAGATCGGATTCGTCTTGTTAGATCCTTGTTATTGGAAATATTGCCTGCCGTTTGATGTAAAATGTATATAAGTATATCGATCGTGTTTGTTCTATCTGTTGGTTGAACCATTGAGAGAGGAAAATGGAATCAGAGACGAACGAAAAAAAAAAAAAAATAAAGAAAAAATCGTTTATTGTCGGTTCGACGATAAAAGTTCTTGTATATTTTCTTTCTCCCGTGCTTGGAAAGATAATAGAAATTTTTCGAACGCGGTTGACGTAAGCTTCGAAAACTGTATGTATAACGCGGTCGAATGCCGATGTAACTTATGGAGGCAAGAAACATCGCGATAAATCGAAGCGGAGAGAACCGAAAAAGAAAAAGTGAAATCGAGCGGAAGGAAAAATATGTTCCCGTCACGAATATTATTGAATTATGATCTGAAGGTATATCGTCGATGGTAATCCTATTCGGCGGATGAAATTTGGATACGAAAGAGAGGCAACATACATCGCGGATAATAATTTGCTTTGCACTGTAAATAATATAATATCCTTGCGCAACGTAGCAGAGAGATAAAAGCTGCTTTCATACGTATTGGAAAAATTCCCTTTATAATTTTTCTTTCTTTCCACTTTTTCAGCATTGTTAGACCGAAACGGTCGAGGACAAAAGGAGGCAATGTAGTAGATCCAATAAGGCTTAAAATAAGGCTGGTCAGTATGGACAGAATGTGACATATAAGCAACTATAAGCAAGAGACAATATTGTAGGTCCAATAAGAAACTTGTCTTAAGTCTCTATTTCTCTGATTTTACGTAGTTCTGTTTTTAGTTCTGTTATCCACTGACAACCGTGGGCGAAATAAAAGGCCCAGAAGATTTAAATTTCAAGTTCCTATTTTATTAATTTTGTTGCCTCTAGGTTTGCCCTCAGCATTGCACGACATTTGTGTCTTGTGAAAACGTCAGGTTGAACTATATTGTTCTTTCTGATGCTCTTTTTGACGCTCTCTTTGATGCTTTTTCTAACATTCTTATTTAAAAACTGATGTAAAATGTTATATTGCTATTTCTCAGGTATACGTATGTATGTATGCATGTATTTCTTTTTACTCATTAGATATTATACAAATATTCACATTCTAATATTATATACACATTCGTCCAAGTATTATTTTTTTGACGACCTACCTGTCGCTATTATCTATACGTTTAACCGTCAAAGTGTTTACTTATGTTTAATTTTTTTGTTACGTATATAATAACGATACTGCTGATGAATTTGAAAACGAAGATGATCTAAATAAAAATGTAATTTTATTTTACAAAGTCTTAAGAGTATTATGTATTAAGAGATTGAAATATTTAAACATAGAGGGTATACATATATATAGAAATAAATATTGCATTATGAAGTCAAGAAAGAAGGAAAATAATATATATTTAATCGATTATTTGTTATCTTCAAAACAAAACACGCGAGACCTTCGGTTCTTATGATACAATAACCTCGGGAATTTATGATGATTCATTTGTGTGCAATCAAAGTCATGATTCAATAAATGAATCATGTTTCGAAGTTTGTTATACAAATAATACATAAATATCGATTAATCTATTTAAAAATTTATCATTACCTTTTTATATATTCTTCTATATTCTCGCGAAGTGAATGGGAAACACAGTCCAAAAAGTAAAAAAGATAAAAAACCATAAATAAAGGAAAGAAAATATGAGAATCATGAAGAGGAAGCGATTCATGTCATTCAGCGATAAATCAAAGTCGTTTATCCGCGAGAAGGCACTCATCCCGTCATCGATCATTCATAACAATAAAACTATTACGATCACGCTATTCATGGCAAGTCGGTCGTGTCGGAAAAGAAGATCAATAAATACGTTTCAATTTGTTGTCAAGCCGATCCAAGGATGTCTCATTAACGCCGGAGACGTTCTACTTCCGATCTCTATATAGATATACCCATATCGATCGTATACTCGAGTACCCAGATCGAATTCACGGAAAACCGACAACGAATCACGAAGCGATTGATCGAACTACGTTGTCCACGTGTGTTTCTCGGAATATCCACGCGATAAGGCAGATTTCTCTATTATCACGGATGCGAGGATGGCGCCATCCAACGAATAGCCTTGGAAGCCTAATAAATCTCTAAGTACGAGCGCCATCTTTCGCGGGGTGGTGAAGCCAATTTAGGGGTAATAATTAAAGCGCTTTACCGATTGAGCACAGTCGGTAAGTACGTTGTACGATGTTCGAATCGATGTGCATATATCGCATCGATTTCATTTCTACTTTCACGAGATTCAAACAGATGGCAAATGTTTCGATGATCGTGTGAGCATGCGCCGATACGCATATGCGGGAATATTTAATTCGATAAACCGCTTATCCCAAGCGTTCTCTTCCAGCGTTCGTTTTACATTTGCAATTCAATAAGGGAGGGATTTGCGATGCAATGAGATATACATATGAAACATTACCTTGTTCAGAGTATCGTGGCTAGTTAGGATGTGCTGGCTACCGTCGGGATGTAGGATACGATCGACCGAATTCGGTCTAGGAACTCCATCCAGCTGGCTCGCCTCTTTCAACTGGGGTGGCGACGGCGGTGGTGGCAGCTGCTCCTCTACTCCTCCACCAGCGTAACGGGTCTTCTGCAACCCCATGAAATTTCATCGTTTAATTATTCTGCATCGATCTTTCACATTTTCAGTGACATCCTTAACAAACAACCACCATTTTCCTCTATAGCCATTTCTAAATACTGACGTGCAGACCATCGAAAATTATTCGAAACAGTTTATTTCGTCGTAGCTTGGTCGATCTTGATTTACGTTTGACACACGATTGCTCTAATTCCGTATTCGTTTGTTGCTGTTGTTGCACTTTCACGATATCGCTAGGTCTAACTTTCGGCACGTTTAGAAAAATCATTTTTCGAAATCGTGAAAATAGATTGAAAATGAAAATGAAAGAAGAAGTACACAGTCGATAGTGAACAAGGTTTTGACTGACGTGCCAGTATCGGGTTTCGATATCGATGATGTCGCCACCGAGCTAATCCTTCGCAATCCCGGATTTCGTTTCATTATCACGACCAAGCAAGGCTTCCGGATGCGACGACCGGTCGAGTGGCCAACCACGGCATCAATGATCGAACGTTTATTGAAACCTCTCCGTTTGAAGCGGCGAATATCTTGCCATACGTGAATAAACGCCAATGTGTGAGTGTCGTCTGTGTGGCTTTAATTCAACGAAACCTATTTAATTGCATTCCTTTCTTTTTTTCTCACCTTTTTCATGAATTGTATTAAAACGTGGCATATATAATATACAAATTAAATTTGCAAGATTGTTAAACATGAAAATTTTTAATTTTGATATCGAAATAATTAAGCGAAATCGAATAATTTAACGAATATCGTGTATATTTTTTTTTAAATATTTTTACGATATCCTAAAAATTTGGAGAGACGATCTTACGATGTTACATATTTTTGTAATTGTATCAACGCAGATCGCAAATTTTTCCTGGCATCCTGTGTGACGAATAAAACAATCGATGCAGTTTTCGACACAATTTACCGAGCGGTCAATTTTTCAGCGTTTAAATGCAACCATGACGATAAATGAACTCTGCGCGTGTCCATGCGCGGCTACATGGAAATGGGAGGCTGGTATAAATAAACAGCGGCTTCCTGCTTTCCGAACAAATCCAGCTAAAAGCTTGTGTGAAATTTCGAAGCATATTAAATCATTAAACATTGAAACATACGAGTGATGCGATTACGTTTAAAAAAGAAAAAAAAAAAAAACACGGAAAACCGCTACTGCGGACTCGCGTTTCTATAAATTATTCCCTGCCGCGTTTTCACGTTTCAATGGTTATAGGATCGGAATATCCGATCCTCGTTCATTCGAGTGAATAGTCGAATTCATAATGGCGGATAATGATGGAATCAAATTTTATATGAACCTACGAATTTAAATTCAACGAGATCGAGCACGAAGTTAAATCCAATACGAATGGTTCACTTCGATAGGATTCAATTGTTATTCATAAGAGCTGATGTTTCATTTTCTGTACTCTTAACCTATAAAATACACGGTTAATACAAGTTTCGTCTCTGTGAAAAGTGTCGGATTGTCACAGATTTAATTTCTCTCGAGAGACTTGAACAAATTTTCAAATCCAATCGAATCGTTCTTATTTCCATTCATGCTCTAATTAAATAAATATGTTTAGAATTGTATTAAGAAAATTATAGAGAGATCAAAAATTGAATTATAATTACGTTGAATTTTGGATGTTATTAGAAATCAATTTTTTTTTTTTTTAGTATGCTTTAAGTGTTGGAAGTTCAAAATTTAAAATACATTTCATCCATGAGTATTAAAAACGACGGAAGAATACAAATGGAATTTTTATCGAGAGACTTACGTGATTCCAACAGCATCCGCAAAAACTGGTCGATCGTTTCGAAGCACGCGTGACAACGCTACGATTTACGTGTTCCCCGAAGTGACAAGTTCTCTTTGTTCTTCGTTTGCGTACCTTAATAGGCACGCCGTACATATAGTCGCTGAAACGACGTCGTGAATGACGCACGATAGACACCCAATCGATCATTGTGCCACTGTGTTTGATCCCGTTCTACGTTTATTCACGTTCACTTTGCACGAGAACTTATAAATTTGTTTCTCTCCATTTTTAATCTCTTTCAATCCATCTTCCGTAAACAATTACAACATTGAAAGTATATTATAAGTATATTTAATTCCAATAATCTGTGTTCACTTTAAAAATCCACTTTGTTTCGCCTCTGTTCAAGCGGAAAATTTATTATCTCTCCACCATTTTACTCCACTATGGAATTTTTCGAATTTTTATTCGTAACGCTTGAAAATTTCGACACTCGATCCGAATTCTTTTCAGAATTAATAATTATTGCTCGTAAAAGTAACCAGAAAGAAAAAAAAATCAGAATTCTTTCCTTTCGTTTCAACGAACGTTTCACGACAAATATTCGCGTTCAACTATCGGTTTGAAACACTCGTCCACGGTAAATCTGTTTTCCTGTAGGATCGTGGAACAAACTAAGGAAAGGGTATCGGGTCGAGAGGAATCCCGATCGAAAGGGACTCGATGAAAGCTTGGTAAGAATAGGTAGCAAAGTAGTTCTCGTAAGAAGAAGTCTCGCTTTGAGGGATGAATAGTGGCTGGTGCACCAGCTCTTTCGTGGATGGTACGCGGCCAGATAAAGAAGTTGCGCCAAGTGAAAAATGAAATTTAAAGGATGGCTGGGCCCCGATCGCGGGGACGTTTAAAAAGACTCGGCGAGTCTGAAAAATGTGTTTATTTCGCGTAACGAGGAAGTCGTTTCAAGCGTTATTATCGATTTGTTGCGCGAGGTAAAAATCAGGATTATTTTTAGCGGTCGCGATCGAAACACAAAAGACAATGTTTGATCCGTTTTATTTAACGAAGGACAAGCTTGTTTTACTAAAGGCCAGGTACGAGGGAAAAGTTCAAAGCTTTTAAAACGTTTAAACGCATTTCCAAGAATACCAAACAGCATCGTTAAATTGTTTACAGGAGAATATCACGAACCACGGACAAAATGGGGTAGGCAACGGTGAACGTTTCGACGCAATTATCCGATCCTTTTATTCGATTATGGATCCGTATCATCACGTACACGGAAGCTAAGTGAAAAATATATATATAAAGAAGTTCGAACGAAGATCACGTGCTCGATTTCACCATTGTGTTTTCGTTGTAGTTTGGCTTGGCTGGAAATAATGATTCCTCGAAGAGGAACGACTGACATCACCCACGTACGTCAGCTTATTTTCGTTAGCCCGAAGTTTTGAGAAACTACTGTTTCTCGGGCGTTCGTTTTATCTCAACCTTCTTAAACAACCGATCTCTCACCATAGGGTTTTTCTTCCAAGAATAACAAGAGTCCCGCAAGGTCGGCTATTCGTGTCAATTAATGGTTTCCGATTTTCTGATTTTCTCGCATCCACGTGCTCCTTATCTTCATTGATCAACGATTCGAGGTAATTCTCTTCCATCCAAGAAGTGAATCTTCTTCTGTTTGAAAACGGTACATAATTCACATCGTGGAGCAACGCGATAATTCAGTGGAAAACTTCCACACGTTCTTTCCACTTCGTGTAAGCGAACACCTTCCACCGTTTCACGCGAAATTCGTTTCGTCACAACACAAGACCCGTCGTGCGCGCGAAAACAAGCGTACAATTGTTGCTACGCTTCTACACTCAGAAAGAACGAGAGAAGGTAGAATTATCCATTCCCCGGGAGGGAATAAAGTTGGACGTTCGAAACAGAATTAACGAAACTCGACGAAAGAAGACGGAAGAGCGACGACACGTCGTGTACGAACCTCGAAGGGATGGACGTCAATGTCGGCACTGGCGTTGTTAGAGCGTCTCGACGTTGGTGGTCGCCACGTTTCGGGCGCTCCTACCAACGCGTCCTGATCTAATTCCGACACGCTTCTTTCCATCGAACTAAAACGCGATCTTACCACGCGTTCAACGAGCGCGCTTTCTCGTCTCTGATAAAGGATTGATGCGTGCGAGACCCTTCTCAGTTTCCTGATCCCTCAAGTTTCGATCCATTTCACTCGATACGGCTTCGCGCGTGATCGATCATCCAGACGAATTCAAACTTTGGATGGCGGATTTGATTCGTTCACGCGACGGGCGTAAATATTGTTCCCATCTTCGTTCGAAATGAAATACATCTGAAGTGAGTAAAGTAATCTATAGTTCTTTCGACGAATCGCATAGATGATTGATTTATCTGTCCGTAGTGGAATAGTAAATTCCATCGATATTTTGAGAATTACTCATTTTTGAATAAATTGAACTGAATAAATAAATAATAGCCAGCCATTCTCATCGACAAATACTTTAAACTTCAGCTGTTATATTTCGTGATAATATCTACCATGGATCGTAGTTAATACTGGAGATTATTTTTTCTTAATATCTTATCCGAAATTATTTGACATATCACACTCTTTATCTCAAGATATCGATGAAACTGAAAATATAATTTTGTATCGATACTTCGAAGAAGAATTCTCGATATATCGTGAATATTGCCAGAACAACGAAGATGCGGAAAATCGATGTCCAACGAGTGAAAATTTATATATATATATCAGCCTGATTAATAAAGCAGCCGTTTAATTAAAGTTCGCGCGATTCGATAACATTCGGGGACGAGCTACGATTACATCGACGGTATATATTTATAATCTGCGCGCCTGAAATTTCGCTATTATTTCATTAACGTCCTTTCCGCACAGATGTAATTTCGACTCGAAACGTTCCGGACGTACAATTATCGTAGACGGATTCGTCTCGTTCTGGCTTCCGACACGATTCGCGGAGAATTGATGGAATGCGTGGAAGTAACGGTGGATTTATCGCTTCGATTAAAGTCTTGTTTAAATTAAGCTGATCGACTTGGAAATGGAGTAACGGAGGGAGTTGTATTTATATTCAACGTTAAAATTAAAAGTATAAAATCAAAGCATTGGTTAGTTATTTAGAATAGATTTTCTAAAAGAAAGATCTTACGATTACAATTATAATAATTTTTGAAATATTTTTTCTTCTGTCGAGGGAATGGCTGTGGCAAAAAGTTGATACGTTTCGAATATCTGGAAATAATCAGGATCAAAGGATTAACGATTATACGATTGTCCTTTATCGGATTAATCAGCTCAGTGAAATCAAATGGAATACATTATATCTAGTTTCCACACTTTATTTGCAAATACGGTAACCGCCTAATAGCATTGATAATGCAGTCACGCTGATTTCTGGCATAATTTACAAATTGTTCCGCCGCAAGCGAGCCTATTATTGTATCTATGTTTAATCGTTGACTTTGTGCTCCCCGCTAATTGGCGAAATGACATGTAAAATCGAAGCGAGTTTCAATCCAGTGTTCACAGACGGAGTGATAAGTAAATGAAATTATCGCCTGTGCCGTTTCTCGTTTGTTTCTGCACGCGTTATCTGTGCATCTCCATTGTGTTTCTCTTCTCTTAAAAAAAAAAAGAAGGGGGGAGGAGGGAAATTGACTTTTGTCGTACCGTCAACTTTTTGAAATGAATTCCATTATACGAAATATTCGTGGATGCACAATGAAATCTGTTCTAAGAGAATGCGGATCTCGGAAGGAAATAAGCAGAAAGATGACGAGGATTGCCAGGATAAATGCGTCTCTCTTTTTTTTTTCCGCTCTGTTCGTCGCGGAAATGAGAAAACGAAAAGAGGGAAGAACGTCGGAAACTGGAAAATTATAGTTCGTCCTTGATGCAAAATAGATTAATTTCTGTTTTTGTCGTGGAAAAATAGTCCATTACGTGCGGTACCAAAAAAAGAAAAATAACTGTGTAATGTCTCGACCAAGAGATTCCATTTATTAGAAAGAGTACTTTTGATTAACTATTTGATTTTGCGAGTTTAAACATTTTTTTATGCAAAAACGGAAATACAGGAAAGTAGATTAATAAGAGAATATCGACAGTCACTAATTGATCGACCAGTATTTTGTAGCCAATGTTGCGGAGGAATTACATGGGTGAAACACGTCGATAAAATAGGAAACGTTGCTGCAAGAGAAGAAATCTGAGATTTCCTTATTGCCAACCGAGTTAAGATATCGTTGAATTATTATTAAAAAAATTATTTTTTCCGTAATATATAGTTTAATTTTTTAAAAATATCTCTTTACATTTAAATTTTTTAAATTAATCGGGAACACAAATGTTAAAACTTATTAGTTAGTATCCCTCGGCAACGTTTTTTGAGGCAACGTCATTCTTTCAACATACACAAGTTAAGAACAAGAAGAGATCGAAAATTAATTCTGACACGACATTATTTACAATCTTACGAACCTGAGTTTCGTCTACGTGGTCTGGAGCCTCTGGACTGGCCGACTTACGGCCATAAATGTTCGACAGAGTCTGGTTCACCGGGAAGTCTGGACCACCCTGCAATAACCACACGATCTAAAAACATCTCTACATGTTCTTTTAATAAGAAAACGATACGTACTTCCGGTAAACTCTGTACACATTATCTCAAAGCAAACGCTGTTAAAGCATCGTACACGATACACGCATGAATATTCATATCAAACTGCATCATTTAACAAATTCAAAATTCGTAATTAACATAATCAATATCCTCTCTTCCGACAACCGCAACCATCGTTCTAATAGCGGATTAAACATGCATAAAATAATAGATTTCGAAAAGCCCTCGTTGTTGTTTGGAGATCGATAGGACCAGATATCTACAACGTTAGAACCCTCCTCTCTACTGGTTCTACGATCCACGCTTTCTACTCTGCTCCGGATAAATCAATTACAACTTGGAAACAAGGAGAAATTCAATACGCCCCTAATTTACGATGTCCTCTTTCTGATCACGATCGCGACCATCCCTCCCCTTCCCCCCTATCTTCCTCAATTCCAAATATTCCAAATATTCGAACGAATTCGTGATGCATAAGTCGTCGTGCAGGTGGCCAAATAAATTCGAGTCGAATAAATCTCCATGATTTAATTTCCAATTCAAGAATTAAGCCTTAACTCGATCCCTAGACGCAATTTAAACTTCTTGTTTTCCCCTATCTATATTGTCGCGTTTCCAGGCGTTCAACGTTCGGTTCGATCATTGGTCGAGAGAGTGGGTGCAGTCGGGCCAGGCTTGGAAGGCGGGCAAATAAATAGTACCACGGCGAGACGCAAAGTCAATTATCGTTGAACGGAAGTTGATGGAAGTTCCGCCGGTATTGCAACCGCGTTAAACGAGCCAAACAGAATTATTCATGGTGAACTTTCGATGCGCAGGTGTGTTTAACATCCCGCGCCACTTTTCCTCGATTCGGCCGGCCTATTCGTACACGTTGAACCCTTTTATTAAATATACACTATTACCCCTATCGTCCTCGTTTCCAACCACTGTTTGTTCAGCTTCAGGGAACGTCAAACTCGATAATAGATATTGTACGTTGCGTCGATAAACCTCGTCAAGATTTTCTTTCGCAATGCTGCTACTGGTATATCTGCAGAGATGCACTAAATAAAATTAGAAAGTAAACTTTTCTAATTTTTAAATCAACGACGAGTTTATTTCATTGCTGATTCACTGCGATCGAAGTTTATCGAACAATTATGCATCGATATTCGTTCTCATTTTGATATCAATCCATTTTAAGTTAATAAGATGGATCGATTTTTACATCAAGATTGTCTCGAGGTAACTAACGAACGTGCTATTATAAAACAAGAAAGTTGTCTTTACCTTTCTATTTTTCTTCGTAGTTTAAAACCGTGAGAGAAAGGAATTTTCGCCGATGCGACGAGCGATAAAATGGTCTGAAGAATAAAAGGAACTCGGATCGATTTATCGCGTGGAAAGAAAATGTAAACGAAAGACCATTTTCTGAATGTCGATCGAGGAAAACGCCGAATTTGGGAACACGCGTTTGACATGGCGTGACGCTTTCAGGAAAAGTGTCGAAGAGATCTCTCTGTTGTGCGGATGTCACGTTTCTCTGCGTTTGTTATAATATATTTATATTTATTGGCAACGATATATTTGAATCACGCTTATCCACGCGTGCAAATTGAAAGAAGATACGAGGGCCACGGCCGAACGAGTTCTGCGTGCTATAAAAAAACGCCCGATTATTTTTTCAATTTACCAGATATAAAACCATTTTTGCGGATCGAGGAGGAATTTCAAATCGAAATTACCGATGAAATATTAGCTACACGCGCCAGGTCACTCGTGACTTTCATCACGACATCGTTTATGCATTCCGTGACTATCGCGAAACGTGCGACGATCCTTTGTCATTCTCGTTATGTTACAACCTATTACGATATAAAGAGCCTAGTGAGACAATAAGAGACAGTAATACGCAAGCCACTTAAGACTTTAATATTATTATACAAAGAACACGTTGTTCGAAAACGTCGAATAATTCAGATAAAAAGATCTAACCTATTTTTACAAACGTGTGTGCAACCAATTATTTTCAATATCAATTACACTCTTCGATAATTGATCGATTAGCTCGCAATTAAGTCCTCGCGCGTGTCGATCAAGGTTTTCGAGAAGTATTGTACGAGAGCTCGCCTCTAAATTTATCTTCTGCGCCGGGAAAAGTTTGTTGGCCGGCGGTGTGCCGCCTTCATTTCGATGCATCCCAAGAGTTCCCTTCCCGATCTCTTCGGGACTTCAAACAGAGGCGCGCGCGCGCGGTACCGCGCTACGTTTGCCGAAGACTCGAGACTCGGTCTCATCTTCGGATAACGAACTCGACGCGCAAGTGCCTTTTCAATTCGTCTTGCTTCTGCCCCGGCTATATACGGAATCACGCGTGCTTTCCCTCGAGCGGAACCGCTCCTCCGGCCGAAAATAATCAACGAGATAGAGGCGGGGAACAATAAAGTTCCTTTCACGAAATGAAGCCGCCGATATCGAGTGGAAAGGGATGCGGAATACTTCGAAAAATATTCGTTACCAAATTTTTAGAATATCGCGACACGCAATATTCTGAATGCGTTCAGAAGTGCAACGTGATTTTTAAGATGGAATTTTAAGATGAATCACGAGACGGATGTGTTTGTTTCTTATTTTTCTTTCAAATTGATTCTTGAATGTACGTACGTACATTCATCGTCGAATTTCGATAATTCTCGATCCATTCACTCTCTTCGGCATGGTGTTTACGGCTGATGACAGTTTGACCGTAACTACTTGCGCTTTGACCGATCACATTCGGTCCGCAAAGCGTCCAGTATCTATCCATCCCGGGGCTTATAGAAGTTTAACAGGCGCGACGAGTTCGGGGTGGCAGTTGAATGTTGCCAATAATTTTCGTTTCTCTCGATTCGACCCTTCCAATCGTTGGCCCCTTGTTGGAAATTCGATGGAGCATAGAGAGGCTTTCGTGTAAGTAAGCGTGGCGGAAACGTGAAACGTTTCGAAACGTGGCAAAGGTTGATCGATCCTCGCCACGATATATTATCGAATTGTTCTCTCGCGGAAGATTCGATTCCACGCCGAGAATTCGAGCCGAGAATTCCACTCGACGGCCAATTCCAAGTTTTATCGATCGATCGACTCGAATAGTTGTACACGAAACATGGGAATACCTGAACTTTCAATTACTTCATACTTCGACCTCGGTGTGTACAGTTACATTTTTCATCGCGACAACGTGCTCGCTATCGGTTTCTTATCGAGAGAAAGAGAAGGGAATGGATATATGTTACATGTACGAGATCGAGGAAAAGGGATTTTGGTATTTTGATATCGAGCTGTTTGATCGGTGAAAATGGAATTTTCAGGGACGAGGATGGAACGATTTTAAAAATACATAGCGAACGGAGCGAATTTCTCCTTTGTCAACGTTTTTACAAATTCTACCATAAAATTCGAATTTATGCAACACGTTTCAAATTGGATAAACGTTTGTCTGTTTCAGAATCATATCTTCTATAAATGTCCACACACACATATATATATACATATCGTGCTGAGATATTTTGATTCAACATTGAATTACCCGCCGATCTAACGTGAAAAATAATAATCGAAAGCTCTAAATATTGTTCGAGAATGCGCTTCGAGAAAGCTTATAAAAAAAAAAATCTCATCTGTGCGTATATCTCCTCCATGACAACGATTGATTTTTTTTTTGTAGTCTCAAAGATGGCGCTCAATTGGAAGCTCGTCCGTTGAGCGAGGATCGTCTCGCAATAAAATCTCTCTCGCTCTGTGAATTCAGAGAGAACTTGGTGAAAAGACGTGGATGATGATCGAATACTCGCGTTCCGCGGTGACGCAGAGCAATTTTATTCCTCGATGGCAATCCTTTCGCCCCACCAAAACGTCCTTTCGTCATTCGATGCAAGTTGGCGCGATCGTGGCTGAATCACGCAAAGCTCTTTCCAACCGATGGAAACGGATACTTCCGGTTGAAACGAATTGATGCTTCGTGGCACGTACTTCTTCGTGGCCTCCAGGCGACGAACGTGTGCGTATATATATATACACGACGTATATCCAGTTCGAAAACTCGATCCTTGACTGATCGAGAATTTCGACAGTCGATCATTTTTTGAGATTGTCGTGCGCGCTATGAAGATGATTTTCAAAGTACGAAGAATAATATAAGAAGAGATGGATTCGTGTTCTAGATCGAGCGATATTATTAGAGGAGGAACAATCGAAAGTTATTTTTATCCTCTGTCATTTTCTCGATAATTTAATCCGTTCGATAATAAAATTTCACGTAATTGAATCGCCGATTGGAAATTGAAGGAACCGATAACGCGTGTTTAACTACCGGCAAATTACATTTGCTGAGTCTGGCTAGGGACCAATTCTACTAGATCTATTATATCGATGCATAATTAATGCCTCGGCGCAGTTGCCGATAATATTCATCGATAGCAAATAATTTCAGTAGCGGAGAATTATGATGTTTTGGAATATATTTCCAATATATCGTTAACATGTTATATCGAGAGACATAATCAGAAACGATTTTCGAACGAATAATTCGTTAAATTCCCATCCTTTAACGTCCAACAAATTCTTCCTTAAAAAAAAAAAAAAAAAAAAAAAAAAGAAGAAAAGACACGCTTGGAAAATATTTTTCACGATGGCGGAGAGTGACAGAATTTAATCTGCCTCAAAGCTTTAAACACGCTCCACTATTTGCCATATTTTTGTTGGATAATCTTTGTTCGCTAAGCTCTGGAATTTTTTTTTTTTAAATTCCGTACGAAAAAAACGTGGGTCGAAAATTATGCGCGACAACAATCTGTCTTACAAAATTCGACGAGGGACGTTTCGACGTTTTCGACGGGAGCTCTTCCGCCGAGATTTTCGAATATCCCGCTGTCGGCCAGTTGGCCATCGTTACCGCGAGAATAAAATAACTGGATTTACCTCTTCCATATTATTCGATAGAATCCGAATTGGAACGGTATCGAGGTAGGATTCCGGTTCCTTTATAACCGATATCTTTATGCTCCTTTATGCGTTGCAAAAGACCATACGTCATCCTTGATATTTCTTCTTTCGAAGGGAGGGGAGGAGGGCATTCAGTCGTCTGAAAATGAGATTCCTTTGTATCCTTTTGTGGCCTTTTTTGCACCGATAATTTTCCGATTCTCGAATTGTCCGCTCGAACCCGGCTTACATTCAGATGGATCCTGTGGCGTTTTATTATCGTGCAAATCGCGCGCATGCCCTTCCTCCATTTTGCTGGAAAAATGTTGGAAGATAGCTGAACGGGTGGCTGTACGATCGTACAGTAATTCATCGTTCGTTCGCCATAGAGCAAACGTGGTGGATTTATTTAATAGGATTTAAGTCTCTATATTAATCTTGTTATGCTCCGTTATAATATTGCTCTCAGCAAATTATCTATATAGAAACTTATATAGCTTCGCGCTTCATAGCATTGTTCAACTTCGAGCAACAGGCAATTTAATAGGTCTTGCCAGGATCCAAAGTCTCGAATTCCCACTTCGTTAGCTTCACCACAGCTCTCACACAGCAATTAGCCCTGCCCTCTAAATGCCAAGTCGAATAGCGTCAACACGGATCTCCATATTCCTCGTCATTTATTCCTCAACGATTATCGAATTTTTCCAATAATTTTCTCAATTCTATTTTGAACGGAAGACGATCTAGAAATCGTAATCTTCTCCACACTGCTCTCACATCCCATAAGAGTGAATCGAAAGTTTACGCTACGATATATCACGCGTGCACAAGATAAAAGAGAGAAAGGGTTCTCCAAAGCGCGAATTCTCGCTTGAACGCGACACCTTTTCAAAGAATATGTGGAGAGAACGGAAAAAAACGAGAAGGACGCGCAACGTCAACGCGCTCGAAACCCTTGACCTGTGAAACCCTGTCCCCGCGAGACAGTATTTCGTTCCATCGAGTTCACGAGTTCTTTCATCTCTCTTCTTCTGATAAAAGTGTTACCGTTCTCGAATGATTCCCAAAGCTAGCCGATGAAATTAGTTTCGGTTATAGGAGTATCGACGATGCCGCGACACCCTATAAAACCCGTGACGCTCTGGGATTATCGAGGCGTCGCGTTTGGTCCCTATTCGATACGCAAGTTGGTAGATCGTGGACAGGAGGGGGAGAGGTTGTCTGTTAACATTAGAGCTTGGATGGAAAATTCTTTGTTTCGAGACAGAACTTCATTTCGTCTCGAAAATTGCGAGAGGAACTTTTCCTTTCCTTCTCTTTTGATATATTTAATTTTTTTTATCCTTTCTTTCGTGTTATCCGTCTGTGGTATTAAACGGTGACAGAATAAAATATTCTCTAAAGGACGTAATACGATGCGGTATCAGATGAGAATTGTGGCGTACGAGAAGACATTCCGTGGAGAAAAGTTAATTAGAGACGGATGATGACTATCTCCGCAGGTCTGGTAATGAATTTCAGGAATGTTGGTTTCCATAACTGCCCGAGCATCGATCTAAATTACGATTGTCGGTTAATTAATTGTAAGCTTCCTCCTCCGCAATTCCGTGAAATTACGAGTCGATGCAATCTTCCTTGATTACGAGTTAAGGTTCCTGTGTACAATCGATGTTAATTCTTTCGTGATACGAGAGACGAATCTTTGAAATTATCTCAATAATTGATACTCACTTAATGACGAAAATCAGAACGTTCTCTTAGGATTTATAATAATTTATGGGGAATTCGTTTCGAATCGTTATCGAAAAACTATTCGGGAAGGTATTAAAATAAATTGCATTTCCAAAATTTGATCGATCATTATTCAGTGATCGATTTTGTCCCTGCCAAGAATGAATCTCGTAATAGAAACCATCGTAATGGAAACCAGAATAGGGAAACTCAGAATGAAATGGAAGAGGAACAACTTTATGATTCCATCGGTCGAAGCTCGTTACGAACTGATGACAACAGTAAATTTTAGTCAATCTTGTTACAAGCAAGATTCAATATTATTCGATTTGTCAACCCTTGAAAAGTGTACTTATTAACCTGATCAAGATTGAAGATTACCATATATTTATTTTACGCGTATGAGTCGTCGCGTTTTCTTCAAAATATAAGAAATATTAATATAAAAGTCATTTTAAAGAAATAAAAAATACAATAGAAATTTCCATTTCACAAAGAGACACGTAAAATAATAACAGCTACCACAAGCTATCCCGTTTATTGCATTCCATTCAAGCAACGAATTCGAATCTAAAGAATCCACCAAAAGAAAAAAAAAAATCATTCGCTCCTTCAAAGGCGACGAAAGTTGGAGAAGATTTTAGGGTGGATCGAATTTAAAATTCAGAATAGTGTCTGCCGCGTTCTAACCAGCCAGTAACGATCGCAATATATATTCTCTCGAACTGGGAATGGAACAGATTTATGGATTGATCGTTCAATGACGTTGGATTCAGCGTTTCATATAGGCTCGAGATCGAGGCCACCAGTTTCCGGAATGAATGATCGCGTGGGGAGAGTGAAGTCGTTGTTACGGTGTTCATGGAACAAACGCGTACAGGGTGCTCTTACTCCTTTGTGAGTCGATGAAAGGAAGTCACGCGCCAGTGCGTGACCGGATATAGCGAACAGCTCGCGACGAGTGCATTCTGAATACCCTTTACTTTGTCACCTCTTTCCTTCCCTCCCTTTGTCTTCGATTATTCTTAGGATTCTATTCTTTTTAGAATCGTTCTTTTTTTTTTTTTTTTAATTTTATAAGAAGATGCATGATAAAAGGCATTCGTCGAATTTCTTTCTTCCTTTACGAATTCTTTTTAGAGAAATTAATCAAATTAATTTTCTCGAATATAGTCGTCTGTGTATAGGAAAAAATTATTCAAAATGTTATCGTTCAATACGATATATTTCAAATTGAAATCGTTGAAGAAAATAGTTTTTCGATAAGTTCATCGATGCTATGAATTGAATACATAAATGTTAATTGGAGATACATCGTCCTTGGATGGAGATGTTAAGCAGCTACCCTAGCATCAGTTTTTATTAGCATACCTCTATGTATCCGAGTTTATAGCAAAGTGAAATGCTTGATGATGAATACCATTCAAATTCCAGGAGCTTCTAATTTAATTAATCTAACAAGGTATAATAAATATCAAATTATACTTTAATAATTATTATTGAAAAAATAACGATATAAAATGTAGATTGTTACTTAAATTATTTTTACTATTGTAAAAATAGCTTCTTTCTTTATTTGATCTAGAATATAACTATTCAGAAAGGTATTCATATTATTTATGAAATGCAGTGTAAATATATATCTAACTCTACCACTTGTTACTTGAATTATTTCTACAAAAATACTACAAAAAATAAAAATGTTTTCTCTCTAATATCTAAAGAGTAGCACAGAAAAATCTCTTATCTTCAGGAACAACCAAAGTACATTCTCAAATCTGAACTATCCTAGCGTTTCAGAGATACCTCTCGTATTTATTTCCTCCTTTGTCTCCTAGTTTTTCTTTTCTTTTCTTTTCTTTCTCTTTTTGTTTTTCTCCAGTCAACCCTCTCTGTTTTCTCCGCTTGTTTTTCCATCGCACTTCTACATCTCTTATCCAGTAGCTTCTTTTTGAATTTCTTCGTTTCTGTTTCTTTATTTAACTACTTCTCATTGTTCCATGCGCCATTCTTTCCCCCTTTGTTTTCCTTTAACTCTCGCGATCCCTCCTCCCTCTTTATCCCTTTATTCCCTCTCCCCCAACTTGTTCTTCCCATCTGGCCCTACTTTAAATTCCCTTGATCTACACCCATGTTCGATCCCAAAGAACGACGCAACGTGTTCTATCCTGTGCACCATTCTGCGCACGTGTCCATGATGCCTTTGATATGCTTTCGGTGTCAGCCATTTATAAAATAGAAAAATTCGCGTCGATGGCAATAAACTTTAGAAAAAAATTCTTCAGAAAGCAATTTGTTGGGCCAACGTTCGAGGGCTGGTTTTCTTCGAGTAACGTTTCGCGAATTCGAATTGAAATCTATTAGATTGACTCGATAGATTCAGAAATGTTACATAAGAGACAAAATATGTGGCGGAAAATAAAATTAGATTACAGAATTCTTTGTAATTTTAAATTTAAAAATTCATACGAATACTTGTCTCATTTTTTGGCAAAAATAATTTCGAAAATGTCATTGCGAAGAATTATTGTACCAATGTAAGTGGTATTTAATACGTCAAATAAGAATAAATAGATTCTTGTGTTTTGAAAGTGTCTCTTGTCTAAAAAATTTATGTTCTTTCGAGCAAATTCTTGTGATGTCAAATTGTTATTGATCTTCAATTCATCGATTTGATTTTTCGACAGATATTTCTGTCAAACAGCTCGTACATTAAACGAGAAACTGTTTCGAGCAAGTCACGGTGGAATTCCGAATATCTGTCTATATACTCTCTCCACGCTCGAAAAATATACACTTGTAAATTTCACGCGGCAATCGTTCTGTTTCGCTGTTTCAAACATACATACGTGCATATGTAGTTATAAAGAGAACTGGTTCGGAATATTATATGGTGATTCCCAGTAATTCGTTCAATCCTATGAAAAATTGAAAGAAAAATAGGATAGAATGGGAAACGATGGTGGAACAAAAAAATATCGTGAAAATTTGAAAATTTAAAAATTCGGGTAAGAACTTGAATTTTTCAAGAATTCATAACATAACAGGAATATTAATTTTACAGGGCCGAACGAAATTTCGAAAGAAATGAATACATTATTGTAAAAATACGGTATCTTTGTAAAAATCGAGCAAATCCCCATCACACAATATCGAATAATACAGGATCCAAATTTAGTTAATTTATTTAGGATATTCTTAAATTTGAGCTTATTTAAATCTCCAATTTTTATCCTAACTCATTGTCGCGAATTTCCTTCTTCTTATAATAAGAATCCATTTTCTCTTCTTCGAGAATTTACTTTCATGAAATATATAATTCCTCGATGATGATAATCGCAAAGGTACGTCCTGACACGCGACATACATTCGTGGATTCGATCCGAATTTGAGGATTCGAGCAAAGCTTCCAGATTATTGTGCATCGATGCAACGATTTGTCTGGGCGCAGTTAGTTGTCGATGTAACAGAACGCGTAGCATCGGAACGAAATCGATGAACGAAACGACTCTGGGTTGGATTAAACCACGCATATCTGGCATCCATTGCAGGTTGCTGCCCTGCCAAATATTTCTGTCGACAACGAGCAGTGGGAAGACACTGAAATATGACCTGTGCGGCCGCGCTACTGGATTGCGAAATCTGGATATATCATGCGCGAATAAATGACCCAGGTTACAGGTATTTGATATATATATATATACATTTTATTGCGAAAAAAGGAAGAGAAAGATCAGGAGAGTATTTCAGCCAGTGAAATATTTTTAGATCGTGGACGTTTGACAACGTGATTATGCAAGTTGTTCAGATAGTTGGAATTATTGGGATGGAATGGATGAAATGAACGAAGTCTTACTAAAACTGTAAAATAGATTCATTTAGCTTTTTCGATTCATTTCGAGAAACAAGATCATAATTATTATTACAATTATTCTTAATAAATTAATTATTTCATACGTAACAATCCAACGAATAACGATCTGGATCGAAGACTTTAATTGCTCGGAAATATTCAACCCTTCCATTACATCGTTTTCTAACTTCACGAAATATCTTCGGTGGCGTTTAATAAGAATTTAAAATCGCCGAGTGAAATGAAACCGAGCAAGTTCAATAAAATTATAAAAGGAAAGAATAGAATCTTAATTGAGTTTTAAAAGCAGCGTCTGTCCAATTCGACCAAAACTTTCCATTGAATTACTCGACACGTAACGCACGATGATTATGCGATGCTCTTCGAATCGAATTGTTGAAGAGAGTTCGCCAGTTTGCGGGAACTTACTTTCGAAACAGTGAAACGTGTTTCGTTTAGTGGATAAAGCCGCTCTCAAAACTCGGCCATTGTTTTTGACGAGTTAGTCGATCGAGCAAAGTTCAGAAATCCGTTTTAATTTTTCGTTTCCCCTCGAACCGTTAAAAGCAGTTAAAAGAAATATCTCTTAATCGTAGCAAATCACAATTAAATATATTGGATCGCAGATATTGAAAAAAATATTAGAAAGATCTGTTATACAAAGATTCAAGAAAGATTCAACGAATTAGACAATGAACATCTTTCAATCATTATCGTTTGGACGCCTCATATCATTTTAGAATTTTAAAGTTTCAAAAAATTCCTAGAATTATTGAAAAACGCCTTGCACAAAGGAAAATTCAGAATGCCATTAGAATCAAAATAAAAGATCAAAGTGAATTTTCAATTTGAAGTCAAGATCAAGGAATAATTGTTATTGTTATTTATTAGTCTCAAGATTAACTTGGAAAATTCTTCGAACGGGAAAGGCAAGCGCAATTTTGCTATATTCAGGATTGATTGACGATTCTAATCTAACATCTAACGTATAACGTGATGGAAAAATGAAAAATGATAAGACGAAAGAAGATCGATGGGACGACGAGGTATAAAAGACAGAGAGACAGAGTAGGTGTTAGAGCTGACCAAATCTGTTTAAAGTATCTCTCCGGAGGTTCGTGTTGATCACTCGAAAGGATTCAGTCTACGATGTTGCGTAAACTTTTCAATCCTTGTGGAGCGAACGTTTGGTTACCGATGGATGGCTCGACAACACGAATACCATGCAAGATTTAAGCAGTCTGTTGTGCGTTTAAGCTTCTCTGAAACCATCGGAATAATGGCTTGACTGAGCAGCTAATTATCGGCTATTGTATATCCAAATCCAGCTTATGTTACGTGTGGGTGTTCAACCACCGTTTGAAACTATGATTGATAAATCATTGAAAATTTTTTTGACGAAAATCACTTGACATTGTACATACGTGAATATTAAATTTTATACAATTATTATTTAGAAAAAGGAAATAATCTTCACAGAGAGAGAGAGAGAGAGAAATATAAAAGAAAATTAATCTCATTAATTGTGTAGAAATATTCAAATAAGGTATAATAAAGAAACGAAGAAAATAATCGAATCTTCAAGATTGAAGACGGAATTTCTGGAAATTCGTTATATCTCGTTTCGAATTTTTCAATTTAATATTAACGCACTATTTGTGGAAATCGGAAAAAGAATAATGAGAAAGTTTAAGTAGAATTTACATATCTTGTTGTTCCAGATTACACAAGAGACGAGAATTCTATAACGTATTTCATTCAACTGACTTAACAATGTTTTATACGAATGCAAGTTGTTTTGACAGTTCTCCTAACTATCCCAGCGACGTCTTAGTCCTCAAGATTGCACGCATCACGAGGCAACTCGAGAATAAACTTTCGAGTAATAATTTCACATCCAGCACGGGATGAAACGTAACTGTATTCCATAAAATTTGAAGGAACGTTATAAATATTCCACGTCTTCAAATTATGGAAACGCAACATTTATTCTTCTCGGATATTTGAGAAATTGTAAAATTCGCTTTTCCCGATGATACTTTTATCACGAATATAAAAAAGAGGACATCGTTTCTTAAAAAAAATTTACCGCCTGAAAGAGTCCATTATTCAATTCGTAACATTGGATGTGTTAAAACGTCGAGTTTATTGAAATCGTTCGTTTCGATCCTCGATTTCCTAGCCTTTTTCTCCGTTGGCCGCCATGCCGTTCAATAGAAATGAATGGAAAGACGAACAAGAATGCGATGATAAGGGCGAGGTCGAAATGCATGGACGAAGCAAAGAAGCGGTTCCGGCAATATGAAAAATTCGAGAGAAAATTTTCACCCCTTCTTATTTGCTCAATTTCCACCAGTGAAATGGACATCGTTTTGTCCGACGTACATACATTGGTGTAAATTTATTCGTCCTCTTAAATTTATCTTGGAATAGAAGGAAATGGACAAATCTTGATGCGAATCAAGATATAAAATTAATATAATTAAATGTGGATTGATATATATGATATATATCAAAGAAACAGTGAAATTATTAATCAATTGGCATATTTAATCTTATTGAAATAGTAAAATAATATGATACAAAAAATGAATTATAATGATTGAATATTTTTAATTGCATAAAATAAGAAAAAAAAAACTGTATAAAATCTAGCATTTTAGATATTTTACTGCGTTAAAAAAAATTTTTTTAAATTTCACCACTCGTCCATTTCCAAGTTTATAAATCGCGGTGTAATACACGAAATATGTATATATATATACATATGCTTGTCGCATATCGTGTCAACACGGAGAATAAAATTCAACCGAAAGGTAACGCCGTTTCCCTCTTTCTCCCTCTACTTTCTGTTTCTACATTCGTTTTGACATGCGCAACAATTTCAACCTCTGTTCGTTCCATAATTTACAGACCGCATTTTTTTTCAGATATTATCAAAACCGGTGGATTAAAAAACGAGGACTAGAACGTTGATGAAAATCGTGACGGATACGAAAATAATTCGAAACGGTGGAAAACATCAATTAATATTAACGAGAACGATCGACAAAGGTGAATTTCATAAAACTCATCCCTCGGGAAGAGAATAATAATTCATTTTTGCGCGTATCAATTTCTTGTTCCAAGGATCTTTCTCGTTCCCCCGTGTTATTGATATCTTTTTTTAATGAATTGACGATCGACGTGAAAATTCAAATTCGCTCTATTTATTATAACGATTATGATACACGGGTATTGGCGAATACTTTTTAACGCGTTGAAAAAGACCCCCGGCGGATTATAGCCGTTTAAACGATCAATTATCGAATTCTAGGGTTTTACGTTCTCTGGCGCTAATGCATCATGAATACAACATGCCGATAATCGAAATAGAGGCCATTCTCACTGTTCACGGGTATCAACGAAACCACGTGGATCGATACGATTCTCGTTTCGACAAAAAAAATATCAACCGTTTGAGACGCTTCATTTTTCACCGAATTCCAATGCGGATTAATTTTGTCATAAATGTGATTTACTTTTTTCATCGAAAATTCGGTAATTCACGAAACTGGGAATCGTTAAGGGTCTATTTAAGGATGAAACGAGGCTCGAAACAATATCTACTTACGAAAAATATTTTTAAGAGCAACTTTTTAAATTTTACTTTCTAAATAATTATTGTTTTTTTTTTCAGATTGAGTCAAATGCGTTAAATTAAATTAATCCTCCTTTCCTCGCGAAAAATAATCTGAAGAGCATCTCTCGAGAGTTCCAATCTCGAATAGATTCGTATCCTTAAACTTTGATTGATCATCCCCATCCCCTTTCTTTAATTTCTTCTTCGGAAGGTCTTTTCTTTATTGACAAAACGAACTGAAAAAATTTTCCATAAAATTTATTTCCATTCTACGGAAGGATATCGGATTTCGAGGATCCAAATTTAAAATCGGATGGACACACCCGCGTCGAGGAGAAAAAAAAAAAAAATAATAAAACGGTCTAACCCATTTCGTCCCATTGTACACCACTCGAAGAATTGGGAAATTGCGAACAATTAACGCGAATTTTCAACTCGGTAATAATCGGCCGTTCTCGATGATGGTATTTCGAAAGGAAAGGTTTTTCACGCTTCTCAAAAGAGAAAAACTTTTGACCCCGTTCAAGTTCCATCCATCGTGGAACCGAAACTTCTGTCACCCTTCTTCACGATGAAATTACGTTTCAACCCTCCGCAATATCAGCTCCTTTTTTCCTGGACAGGGAGAAAGAATCGGGGGAAAATTTAAATATAGCCGGCAAATTCAGAATCCATCGTCGCTGACCCGCGTGACCCTTGGAAAAAGATCGCCGATAAAAATTCTGGAAACGGGTCACTGATATTATTCAATCGTCCCTTCTTTCGCGAGATGTTGTACTTGTGATTCGCGATAATTAATTACGCGGAAAGTTATCCATTTCGTTAAACGTGTGCGCTTTCGAGAAGATGAGAATCGACTGATTTTGAAATGGGGAGATTATTCGAGGATGTAAAAGTGTAGGACTTATTCTTAAATTAGAACTTGAAAACGAAAGTTAGAATTTCGTAATCTCAAGAAATGATTTTTGGATACGAGTGCATTTACAAAAAGTTTAAATGTACAAAAATAGAATACCCGCGATATTCAAAAAGATATAAATATGTAAGTATATATTACGATATTTAAACACATGTTTATTTCAATTTTAATCGTGTTAATAGAAATTTATTAATAATAAAATTTAAAAAAAGAAATTTCTACGCAGCTAGCGAAAAATTCTAAAATTTTTTCATATTTTATTTTGCATAAAATAATTCAAAACACAAAATATATTACGCGTAAAGCGTAGCAAAACGCAAGACTCGTTTTCTCCCATTTTCGCCTATTTTGTTTCGCGTACATATTACGCAGAAGAAAAATAATTTAATTTGCAAGAACGTAATAAATTCTTTATTTATCATTCTCAATTCTATCGCGTTCACGGATGAGATATTCTCGCAAATTGATATTTTATTATATGGACTTTTGAATAAAATATTTCGTTTATAGTTGCAAATCCAAAGTATGAAGTTCCGTTCATCGATCCATCGATGAAAACGACACATTTCACGTTTCACGAGGAATAAATTGATTTTTATTGGCTCGATTTCGAGCATATCGGCACAAACAATTAATGCATATTTATGCCGGAGCAGGGGGATTGAAGCGGCTCGGTGTTAAATAATGCAATTTTATTCAAACCATAACCGGTCGTACATCAGTAGCAATTCTTTCAGTCGGTGGCTCAACTGTCTCAGCCCGGATGTTGCCTCTATTGTTATAAAATGAAAGTTTAACGACGCGATGATAAACAAAAGAGGGAAAATTAAAGCCGGGCATTAAATCCCGACCTGGGCAAAATGATTCGTGCAATGAACGCTGCCCAACCCGCTTTCGTCCCTCCTCCGCCTTCATCCTATATTCCTTCATCCTCGCGATTCAAAATCGTGTTCGAATTAAAAAAGCGATGATTTTTCAATCTTGTTGAAATTTCAGGAAAAAAATACAAATTAAAATTTATCGATGTAGAGTGGAATAATCAAAATTATTGTGTAATTACTTTAATAATAGGAAAAACAATATATCTGTTTCGTTATATAAATTGATTTTCCAGATTTCACAATTAATTTATCGAATGAATATTTATAGATAAAAATATATCGATAAAAATTTTCAAATATTTCGTGATATCTAAAAAAAAAAAATATTGTCCATTAAATTTAAATTTTAACAACGGGAGTCATTTTCATCCCCTAATTAACTAATTCTTTCCAGATAATCGATCCAGGTGATTCACTTATCGCCGCCTCTGCTGTACTGAAAAATACAATGGTTCCTTGCTAACAATAGAATCGGTAACAAGGAAAAAAACTCCTAAAAGAAATAATAATTATTCTCGTATTTAGTTTCTCGTCTCTCGTTTAATTGTTGCCCGCTCTCCTGCCTCCTTTATTCTATATCATCACGAATGAAAAATAAAACAGTCTCTGTTTCGAGCCAGATATAGCGAGATATCGGTTTACCTTGCGCATTTCGACGAGCATAGAGACGGTCGAAATATTAAGATACGATTGAACGAAGATAGAAATGGAAGAAAAAAAGAGGCAGATCTAACTGTCGATAAAATTAAAGTTTCTCGTAAAAATAATTCCTCCACCATTGTACAATCTATAATTTCCTCGAGAACCAAGGTTTCCTTCTAAAAACTTTTATTCTATCTGTTCAAGTTTATTTCTCTCTCTCTCTCTC